TTTAGTTTATAGTTTGGTATGGACATATATAATATACTAGCAGGTGTTTTCTTAATTATCAATGGTATATTCTATACTCAACGTAAATAAATTATGTTTACAAAAAAGAAAACGAAATCGATTAATTAATCTTTTTTTTTTTCTTAAAGATTATCCTGATGGATCATCAACAACTGGTCAATTAACTGGTATGTGTATATGTGCATTTGCATTTTATATTGGTTTACAATTAATCTTAATTGGTTTATGGCATCAAAAATATCGTCAAGAAAATCCAACAAAAATTATTAAAAAAACAAATCAACATAATGAATCTTCAACACATTTAAAATCATCTATGGAACATAATGAACCATATAATTATTCATATCAACAACAAATTGATTATACACCATATGATTATTATTCTAATCCACCATATGTTTCAAATGCTAATGAACAAATGTTATTACAACAACCAGGTGCAGTAACAGGTGCTGCTTCTTATGAACCAGTTGTTTGGCCATCAAATGTTGAAATTGAAACACAACCAGATTCAAAATTTCTTCAACCTATGGAATGGGCATATGGAAAGCCAGTAGGCAATCCAACATCATTAACATCAGCACATACATCTGTACCGATTACGAATAATATTTGTAAGTAATTAAATATATATATATATATGCATGTATTTCTTTGTTATTTCTTTTTATTTTTATAGCTGAAAAAAAAAAGTAATAATCATTATAAACAGAAAACAGTTCAAGCTAATCCAGCAAAACCTAAATTTGATAATCTTTTTCCAAATTCAATTGTTACAGAAACACCATTACCAACATTAAGTAAAGCACCAGAAACAAATGATCTTGTAAGTATGAATTAAATTATATATTAGAAATTGTTACATTTGTTTTACTGCTCATTTCTAAGAGAGAATAAAAAAAGGAAAACAAATAAAGAATACTAAATCATAATTATAAATTTTTCATTAGAAAATCATATTCCATATCTCAATTCGCTAGCGAGAAGGTGCATCAGGACGAGTATTAATTCAAGACGGAATACTATTTTAACTGTTAATTAATAATATTTCATATTATCAATTAACTAGACTAGAAAAAAAAAATAAATGAATAATTCCTATTATTAAATATTCTTCTTTTGTTTTCTTTAGATAAGAACAATTGTTGATAAAGAAAAAACAATTAAAAAAAATTTACCAAATGATTCTTTAACAACAAAAAATTTTAATCGAATAAGACCATTTGATGGTGAAACTGAAAGTTCAACCGTCATTAGTTCCACTCATCGTAGTCATCCTTCACATCGTCATCGTCGGCAACGTCGTCATCATTCTTCTTCATCATGTTCAAGTTGTTCATCTAATGATTTTAATAGTAATATTAATTATAATTCACATCATTATCAACAAAAACATTCTGAACCAATATCTAATACAACCATACGACAAACTTCAAAAACAAATAAAGCAACCCATCGTGATACTATTTTAGAAAATATACCAAGTATTGTTATTTTAGTATTTCATTGAGAAAATTGAGTTTTTCTTTTTCATTAGATGTTCATGATAGCCGTCTTGAACAAATTCCTGTTGTTCGTCGTACAATTATAATTGAACCTTATTCAACTCAATCAAATTCAGAAATAGTTAATAAATCACATACTGATAAAACAGGAAAATTTCGTTTAAATAAAAATCAATATAATGAAACAAATACAAATTCTAAAACAAGAAATATAACAATAGAAAGTAGTAATAATACGATGACTGATATACAATTAGAAGATGTTAATGATGATATTGATGAAAATGAAAATTTTAAAAAGAAAAAAACAAATAAAACATCATCAACAAAAATAGCTCATAATGCATATTATAATTAATCATTATTCGATTCTTATGCTTAGTAAATATTTTGTTGATTGGAAATAAATTAAAATGAAACTTATAAACTTTATTTTTATTTTTTCTTGTTTTGTTTTCTTTGATTAGAAAAACAAAATCTTCAAAGATAATTGAAGAACTTTGTTTTATCATTTGAATAGGATGCATTTAAATTTTGTATGTTTAATAAATTGTTGTAAAAATATTAAAAATAAATTATTGAATTCAAAATAATGACTTATTTTTCTAAATTATTTCTTTAACAACAGGCAAGTAACATTCATCGAGATTTGATTTACTTGGCGCTCTAGACAGACCGGATTACTTTTAAGAAAACAAAAGGAAATTTTTGAAATCCTCATAGAATATATATCTATTCATATCTCTATCGAAAAAGTATTTTACAGTATGTTAATCTTGAGGATGTGAATGAACGTAGGTGTTCACTTCAGCCATACTTACATTCAAACAATAATTCAATATTTTCAGAACCGAACTCTACCTACATCCTCGTCATACGTGTGACAGTATAATAGATTAACAGTCTCTATGCTATTGGAGATTATAATAATATCATAAGAGATATGAACAAATGTATTAGAAGCTGATTCGAAACCTGATATATAAATATATGTCTTCCTTTCTCAAGAGATTAAGTATGTTATTTGTTTTTCATTGTTGCATTGTTGTAATTCTATTTGCTGCAGTTCTTTAGACTTTTCATGACATTTACTTTAAATTTCAAATAATGATTGAATACAGTGAATGAAATTATTTTTTAATCATATATTGATATAATTATATCGAATTAGTGTATTTTAATGAATCATATGCGATCATAAATACGTATACATTTATTTATTAATATAATCAGTTATATTAGTGCTATTTAGATTATAAAAAACATTATTATCACATTATTCAAATTATTTGATTTTGGTTTATCATTAAAATGTGTTTAGATGTACATCCTATCGCTTAATAATTAATACATCGTATCCTCATGTATATACTATTGAACAGTCGATCGAACAATAATTTAATAACTATGATGATTACTTCTAAAGACGTCGTAAGTTGAACAAGCACATTAGTAAATGACTGTAAATAGTCTTATATCGGCGTATTACATGACTCAGTATTACGATCGTATTTCTTCATGTATGATACTGAGAAATACAATCGTTTACGGAATTCATATATATATTAAAACATGGACTGTAGCTATCAAATGCACTTATATGTACCATTGTAGCCATAATTATAAGACGACCAGTCGTATTACAGTTACCATTTGATTATTATGTTGTAGACAGACACAGATGAATTACCACTTCTAGTAGACTCTAGATTATAGTAATGATAAATTTTGAAGATTGGATATGCACATGTAAGTTTTTGAGAAATTCTGTTACAAAATAATATGATTTAACTGGGTGAGTTAATTTAATATTTTGTTTTTGTAATAGAATCCATAGAATTTTGAAAAAATGATCTGTTTATGTATGTCGATTAGAAATGATTTCTCATTAAAGAAACAAATAGATTGCAGAAAAATTGTTGAGTCAGTAAAAATCTTTTACACATTAAATTTTTCTACTATATCCGATTAACATACAATGTAGACTAATGAAAGAACATAATTAACTGTCCTCTACCTTTCGACTTCATATTATGGCTATAACTGCATATCTATGAGGCTTCAAAAATCTTAAAAGGATTCGTGCCAATCATTTACTTATGAAAAATGATGACTGTCTGAATAAAGTTTGTACTTAATGTAAAAGATTTTCGAAAAATGTAAAATAAAAAGTTTTGACCTGACATTTTGCCTATAGACAGAGTTAATAGTCGTTAGATTCTATAGAAAGTTGTAACGAAAATAAAAACATGTTTTCTCAAGATATTTAACTCCGAAAAAGCATCAGCGATTTACCATAGGATAATGTAGTAATCGAGTTTCTTTTTTGGAAAATTAAATATCTTGAGAAAGATATGTTCATTTTCATTGACATTTTTCGAACTATTTAATGATTATTAAATTCGTCTTTAGACAAAACTTTTTGATTTTTTCGAAAATACTTTACTCTCAGTAAAAATTTCATTAAAATAGTCATAACTCTCATTAGTAGACTATGGCAGGCTTGTCGATTAGCGTGGGGGGGGGGGCGTCGTTCTCCCACCAAAAATTGGAAACATGTCCGACTTGCTGCCAAATTTAATCGTAAACTCCAGCAGAAACTCTGTTTTTAAGGACTGTTCTCCATTTTTTGGCAGAAAATCAGATAAAAACACATTCTGTAAACAAAATCTCGTGAAAAATCAATGAATTCAGCAGTATTTGTTTAGTATCTGCCGGAAAGTGGGAAAAAGCACTCTGCCACAATTTTCAAAGTTTCTACCGAATGTTTAACCGCTCCCATGTTTCAAAACAATCGACAACCCTGGATCATGGATCTGATTCCTTTTAAGTCTCACAGAGATCTACTCCTAGCCAAAATATCCAGTCGAATGGCATTCGACACTTTGATATGTTTCCTTGTTAAGTTAGTAGAAAACATTAGAGAGTATCTTTCAAAAAAAAAATCCAATTTTAGGAAGCTCCTACAATGAAAGAGAGAATAAATAGTATAAAAAAAAAAGACATATGCTGCAATATATGCTTTAATATTAAACCGTTTCAAATTCAGAAAAAAATTCTTTATCTTTGTAGCTAATTTAATACACTATGAAATTAACTTTCAAAGAATAGAGATATAACAAATCAAAAAATGACCTTTTCCATTTAAGTTCGATAGATTATTGTTTTTATTGGTGGTGGTGGTGGTTGAACTCGAACAACACGTTGATCTTTTGACATAAGATAATTTTCCATTTCACGTGTTGTCATACCTGATACTTCTTGATATGAAACAATTTTTTTTGGAATAGGTTTAGGATATGATACGAAATGATCATTATCATCAACATAATCTTCTACTATAATTTGATGAGTACGACTAGGTTTTGATGGAAAACCCAATGGTGTTTTATGAATTATATCAACACGAATAGGACGACGCGGTGTTGTACTAGTATTTTGTATACGTGATGTTGGTGGTTGAAATGAATTAGTTTCAAATCGTGGTGAAGGTTGTATTAATTTAGATTGTGACAAAGGTTTGGTTGTTGTTTGCCTAAATTTTTCTGGTGATGATGGTTTATAATAAGCAGATGTATCTTTCATTGGTTTAATAGGTCGTTCATCAGGATCTAATGGTTTTGATGAATAATTTTGATTAAATTGTGATGAATTTCGTTTAGGTGGAATAAATCCATTAGATGTTGATGAGTGAATTGGTGATGATGGATGTTGCAATATTGAGTCAGTAGAACCTGGAGTATGACGACGAATTACTATTGGAAGTAATTCATCTGAATCTATTTGATGATGATTATTATTGTTAACTTTTGATCTATGTTGTGATGTTTGATTTCTAATTGAATTATATTCATCAGGAGTTTTTCCATTATCATAATAATATTCATGAGGATATGGTGAAGTATAAACTTTCTCTGGCCATCCTTCATCATCGACATAAAAAGGATAATCCGCTGACAAAATAAAAGTGAATTTAAAGAAAATATTTATAAGTTTTTTGTTATTATCTCACTTGGATCGGTAACAGCCATGGCATTGATTTCAATGTCTTATAACAATGTAAATGCAGAGCGTTTTCACTTTTTCTCGTTCTTCGTTTAAAAAAGAATGAAGAATTCTATTGACTTTTTAATGCATTGAGACTGGAAGCGTCATGCTGATTCTCTTTTTCCATTCAAACAAACACACAAAGAGAAAAAAAATTTTTTTTTTCAAAATAACATTCTGTTGCATCCACTTGACAATATTCATTTGAAAGAATAGAAGAAATACAAACATGTCGGACAATTTACATGATTTGAAAAAAGAAAAGTTTAACAAATGGAATAATATTTTTTCTATAGCAAGAAAAATCGATTTTTAAATAGAATAGAATTCTATATGTCAATTGAAAATTTATTAATAGTTGTTCTTCTTTCGTTGAAATAATATATGTCTTATTCGCAGTCATGAATAGCACTTTATTTCACATTCATTTATTTCCCATTAAATAAATGGATTGTGAGGTTTAGGAGATGAATACAAAGATGAAAAATATAAGTACATACTATGCATGTTTTTTTTTCTTTTAATATTTATTGAAAAATCAACTCATGAATAAATAGTTCTTTCGGTTTGGAGATCATTGTCCAAGTTAAAAAGGTTCTTATGTCTGTATAGAATATTAATTAATAGACTTTTGGATTATATTAAGAACACAATATTTTCTATCAAACGTTCAAATCAATACGATGATGACTTACTCGATATTTCTATTCGTTTTTATTCTAATCTATCATTTAAATAGAAGTCTAGCTGAGAATTCATTTTTAAAAACACAAGTTGGTGTAAGACAAGACTTCGAAGAGCAAAATACGGCAAATATTGTTGGACATGATGATTCAATAACAAATTTTTCGTTACATTCTCCAATGAATTCATATGATGTTACAACATATTGGTCATCGATACGTTCAATGATTATGAATACTTTTCGTTTAACTGGTTCTAATTGTGTCTGTTCATATGATCAACTAATAAATTTATTATCATGTTCACCATACTCACAAGATCCATCTTCAGATCCACTTTCGTCTATAAATAAACGTGTTATTAATATAACATTAACTAGTTGTAATTTTTTTTCTAATCATTTAAATCTTCCATTAATCACCAAAAACAGTATTGATTATTTACGATTACATGATGTTAATCATCAAGGTCATCTTATTATTAATGAAAGATCATTTTCATCATATACAATAAATCATATATATATATTATATGGTTATACTCAACCAACAACAAAATTATTAATTTCAAATGAAACATTTTCATCATCATTAATAAATTTATCATTACGTACACTTTATATTGATTCATGTTATCTTGTAACATTAAATAAAACATTAAATAGATTATTTTTTCTTGAATCAATTACATTAATAAATATTGAACAATTTTCTTGGTATGATTTTCAACAAGAAATAAAATATTTACCAAAATTACGTTATATTTATATTGGTGATGAAATTCTTTCAACAACAAATAAAATATTTAATGTATTATCATGTCAAGATATATTACCTCAATGGATATTAACTTATCTTTCAATTCAAACATGTAGTTGTCAATTTATTTCATTTTTAACAACAATTCAACATTATAATAATATATCTAAATGTCCAAATTCAGATAATAGTATTGAATATATTAATGATGTTTGTCTATTTAATGGAAAAAAATATCAAATACAAAATCAAAAAAATTTATTTTGTAATAAATGTTTATCTTATCAATGTTCTAACCAAACATTATGTACAGAAGCATATGATTCACAACCGATTTGTTTATCATTATCAAAAGATTATTATGAAACTATTCACAATCGTATACCAATAAAATCTAATACAAAACAAAATTTTTTTCAAGAGAGTCAAGAATATCTAAGTACAAATCCAAATAGAACTCTAGATTCAAATGGATTTTATTCAGTTGCAATAACGTTAATTAATTCAAATCGAAATCTTACAGAATATTCTTCAAATGATGCACAAATGTTTCATGAAACATTCGCTGAAATGCTTAAACGACCATGGGCACCAGAAGTTTATACGTCATCAGGATATCCAGAAGGACCATCATCATTAACACAACCAATAATTTGGCAACAATTATTAAATTCTTTAGATAGATCAGTTCAATATATCGATGATAATGAACCAAAATTTGAATTTCATAGTAAACCTATATCAACAATAAGTCTACGTTTCAAAACAGAAGAGCAACCACAAGAAATATTTGGCTGGCAAATAACAAATGATAATATAGTAACAGCAAATATTACTGATATTCAATCAATTGATAAAAATGTAACATCACGTGTTTTTCTTAAATTTAATACTAATAAAGCATATAAATTACATTGTAATATATCGTAAGTTATTAATAAAATAGATTTGATTATCAGAAAAAAAAATTTCAAATTTATTTTTTTCATTTTTAGAAAATCATTAAATAATTGTACAAATCGTTTTTCAATAACATCAATTAAATCCCAAAAATTATTTTATAAAACAAATCGAATTCCAGAATATGATGTTATTTCAATAGTAGCACCTAATCAAAATCAATATGTTACATTTTATTTTGATCAAAAAATTTCATCAATTGATACATTTGAATATTCAATAAATACAACAAATTCAACAATAATAGATACATTTTATGATCAACTTGATCTTATGATTTCAGAAGGTATTTGTATGTATTTAAATACAACTAGTATGATATGGCAAACAGATGGTTGTTTAACAGATCGTCAATTATCAAATAGTTCATCAATTACATGTACATGTAAACATTTAACAATGTTTACAGTATTTTTTTCATTAACATGTGCTAATCCATCAAAAACACTTGAAATTTTAAGTTGGCTTGGTTGTGGTCTTTCAATAATTGGTCTTTCTATAACATTTCTTATGTTTATTTTTATTAGTCTATATCGACGAACAGAAAATTCAAGTCATGGAATATCATCATCAAATACGAGTTCAAGTCAAGAATTACGACGAAGAATTATGGTATAGAAATTTTTCTTTTCTTTTTCGAATATATCAATTATTTAACATGGGAGAAAAAAATATCGAAATTAATATATTGTAAAAAAAAAAAACATAACGGACCAAATGTTGAGTTTCAATCAAAATTTGTATCGATTCTGACTGAATATAGGTTCGATATTTCTCTAGAACTTCTGTTTTAAGACTTATGAATTAATGTTTTAGAGGTATGAAAATTGATCAATAATTTTCTTTACAGCATACGTTATATTACCGATTTTTGCTCTCATACAATTAACGACAAAATTGTTCTCTACAAAATGATATTAGAATCAAGAGTTTCAAAACAATCATTCAGAGAATGATCGAGCTTACTTTGCATGTCTACTATCCATAGAAATCGAGAAAATTTCCTAAATTGACATGGTGTACCTTTTCGAAATATTCACTGTTGATAAATAACTTACAGGAACATTATTTTCTGTATTTGAAATAAATTTGGATAAGTATTGGCGCGCTAAAATTTATCCAAACTTAACTCATAAACCCAAAACATATAAAGTCTTATTCGAAAAGAATACAAAATTTTAATTCTAACTCAATGATTTTGAAATTTTTAATAAATTATTTTAATAAACTAAAAAATGAAAGGAGATTTTGTCAAATAATTTTTCAATTACCTGTTATTTCAATATATTTATACGTGATATATCTGTTGTTCTTCAAAATACACATACACAAAATGAAAATTAGTTTATTCTAAGATAATTTCTATCGAAAATTTTACTTGACTGCAAGTATTTACTGTATTACAAGAAGTTGAACAAAAATTTTCTTAATAGTATTTTGTCTTTTTTTTGTCTATCGAGTTTTCAATTTAATCTTTAAGAATATAATTTATTTTTCTTGTTTGTTTTTTTTTGTATAGAATAAACCACGTCATATATCAATAGTAAAATCAATGTTATTTATCTTATGTATTTTATTAATTCTAATGAATATTCTTATATTTATTCTAACATTTGTTAAACCGGGTCGAAATCTTGGTTGTACAATATTATCAGCATTACTTTATTATTTTACATTAACAGCTTTTATATGGAAATTTTTATTTGCTTTACAACAAAGTTTATTTCTAACAAATTTATTTAAACCACAATGGTCTAATAAAACATTATTTACTATTTATTTAATATTAACTTTTTCAATACCTGTTATTCCATTATTAATTATGTTTGTTAAATATGAAAATTTAACATTTATATCATCAACATGTAATTATTGTTGGTTATCACGTGAATTTCTCATCTATGGATTAATAATACCAATATTAATCATAATTTGTTTAAATATAATATTTTATTTCTATACAATGATTTATTTATGTATGAGAAATCGTCAACAAATAGGTTTACGTTCAACAAAATCTGAACATTCACGACGTATACAAAATTTTAAAATTGGACTTTTTTTTGCTATTATTATGGGTTTTAGTTGGATATTAGGTTTTCTTGTTCTTATACCAAATACATATGTACAATTATTTGGAAATATTTTATTTTGTATGGTTAATACATTTCAAGGTTTTGCTTTTTCTATCATGGTTTTTTTTATGACTGAACGAAAATCATTTCTTCATTATTGCTGTTTTTGGAAAAATAAAAATCAAATAAAAACAGCAACAAATTCACAAAGTATTATACTTCAAGAATCATTACCAATATCAAATGATAATGATAATATTAAAATAAAAAATATATATAATTCATCAATTCATACATCATCAACAACATCTGGTGGTGACGCTAATATTCATGATACATTTGATCATTGTCGTATTAAAAAATTACCAACACAAAAAGCAATATATGAAGACGAACATATTTATAGTTCACCAAAACTTTGAAAAAGAAATTTTTTTTTTGTTATAAAAACTGATATTGGATTATTAAGTTAATAAATAAAAATTTGTCATAAGTACAAAAAGCAAAAAAAAAAAACGACTCTTATTGAAAACTATGTCAGGTATATTGAAAGTATTGTAGATATAGTCACGTTTTTGTTTCTTTGTTGACAATTATTATCCACATACTTCTCTTATTTATTCATGTCAGTTAACAAAGAACATGAAGGAGTAAGTAAACAGAAACCTTTCACAGAACATTACCATACAAAAGTCGCTCATTGTACTTGAATATAAAGAAAGAATTAATATTCTAAGGAATGAAGCAAAAGTACAGCATTAAGTTTGTTTTGATGTAGTGTTGCTATGCAATGTCATGCAGACTTCATTTTTTTGTCTTGTCACAAAAAGCAACATGTCTGGTATAAAAAAAAAGAACAATATATAAAAGGATTTAATAGCAAACGCGCTTTTCAAAGGCTAGAAAAATCTTAAAACACAAAAGTATCAAGAATTCTTTCACAATCTTTTTTTGAATTAAGCAACACAAATTTATCGAATAAGAAAGTTTATTCGTCGGGTTGATATGAATGTTTTTCTAACCATCTTCTTGTATCACAGTCGTTTTAGAATGGACGATTGTAGTTGAAAAACTAAATTCTACCCTGATGATGAAATCTTTTTCAAATGGTAAGAAGCTTGTGAGATAATATTTAATCCACGAGTAGAAGTTGTATAGACTAGGAGAAGTCTAAAAAGATATGTGGACAAATTATCAGACCTTAGAATGTTGCCGTAAAGTTTTATCCATATGAATGTCTCCATCAGATAAGCTTGTCTACTAAGTTTCAGAATTTTTCAAGGAATTGTCTTTCAGATATAAATTTAAAAAAAAATTCTGTTAAAATACTGATACCTCGCCAGTAGTTCGTCCAAAAATTTCAAAATTTTACAAACAAACTATATAGTATAATTGAGACTTGTGCCCTTATCCTTTTTCTCGTCTATACATTCTCTTCTTGTTCATAAAATGTAAAGTCAGAAGATTTTTTTCCACATACTAAAAGAAACATTCAGTTTTTAATCAAACAACCTTATATTTATCCTGCAGTATGCTATACCAATTATCTTAACATCATACGAAAACCATCGTTGTTATAAACAGTGGTGTATATATAATTGAAAGTTAATAACAGAAAAATTCAAAGAAATATAATTGCATTAAAAAAAAAAGTTGAGACCAAAGTTACGGAAAATTTTACAAATATCTTTAGTTCTAAAGCTTTAGTAACCTTCGGTAAATATTTCCGATCGAATTCATTTTTTAATGTAGAATTTTCGCATCATCCATTAAATAATATATTAATATTCAAAGAAAATAAAATCCTATAGCACAAATAGTTAGACATTAACTTATTTTTAAAGAGACAATTCAAGCGTATGGTAATGATATGAAAAAAGTTTCTTTTTTTTTTTTATTGGGATATAAAAACAAACCAACAAATAGACAAGGTTTTTCAAGCGAATTTAGAAAGAATATAAAAAAAAAAAAAGGAAGTAGAATAGATAGTTAACAAAGAAACTATATACCATCAATGGACGAGATTTTTTTCTTATGGTATCAAAAGAATTCATTTCTTTAACTATTTCGTGCCATTAATCGATCTAAATAATAAAAAATAAAGAAATATTAAATATATTTATATTTAATAGTCATTACAAATAACTTCTTTTTTTTTATCAATGAAAACAAAAGAAAAAACAAATTACCGTTTGATTGTGATACTACCCCAACTACTTGAGAAGCAATGGGTATAACAGGTTTGACAGGTAAATCAACTTGTACAGTTGCTTCATTATTTAATGCATGAGATACAACTTCAAAACATATATATATATATAAAGAAATCTATATTTTTCTTTAAAAACATACTTTCAGCTAATTCATGATAAGCAAAATGAAGATAAAGTAAAAAAAGCATATGAATTGCACTAACAAAAAGTCCAAGAAGTATACGATAACGTGGATTAATTGTTCGTGCCATAATAACAAACATCTATCAATACAAAATAACAAAAAGATTCAATGTAATCATTTTTTTTATTTTCAAATTTTATAAAATATACCATTCTCATTGCAGCTATGCCACCAACAATACACCAAAGACCATAAAATAATAAATGATCATGACCCGTATGAATAAATGTAGCAAGACAAAGAACGATACAATGACTGAATAAAGCATAACCCTAAAAAAAACAATCACTAATACTTTATTTATTTAATTACTAAATTTTTCTTCTTGTTTTGTTTTACGAACATTTATATTAAGAATTTGCATTAGACTAAGATGTGTATTACAAACAAATGAAACAGACGAAATTGCAAAACTTGAACCAATCCAATAACCAAAACAAATAAGAAAACTTGATCCAATTAATGTACCATCTTGCTACAAAATAAAAAAAATTTAACACATAGATTTAAATATGATGAGCAACAAATTTAAATACAAAATCTTCTTTTATCATACTTTCTTGAAATTTATATCAAGATTTAAACCTTAGTGATAACTAATAAAATAGCTTTTATTATATTGATAATACAGATCAGAGATCTCAATGAGTTGGGCCAACTTTCTTTGACACAGCTCACAGGCGTAGCAAGGAATTTTCTAAGGAGAATGTGCAAGCGCCTCTTACATTTCCCCTGCCTACAGTCTTGACCCAGTTCAGCCCATTAAGATCTCTCCTAACAATAATAAATAACTTTCACTAGCATAGCAAATCAAACTATCTGTTGGGAAAAGTGGCAATTAGATACAGGATTCACCTGATGGTTTCTACTCATGAATAAGCTATTTTTTAAGAAAAATAATGGTCAGACTTTCTTCAGCTTATTAAAATCTCTGATACGAATCTATGCTTCAATTTCGAAAACAAAATTGTATCCTTGAATAAAACCTTGACATACCACTCTGTTGTTTATTGACACTGCGTATTTATTTCATCTCAAGCAATTATTAATCATACCGATGACAAAAGTATTTTATTCAGAGAACTTTTCAATTAAACATAATTCTTCAAGTATAACTTACTACAGAATGACTTGCTAATTTCATCTGATAAATTAAAATGGCTGCTAAAGTAAAAACAATCATTGTTGGTCCATATAATTCTGGTTTAATATTCTAAAATACATATATTTAAATAATATTGACAAAAATACACAAAAAAAAAAACAACAACAATTTTTCATACTTCATCTGGTGATGGCCATCGAGGTATTAAAACATGAAGTAATCTAAGAAAAATATTGATTATGAAAATCAAAAAAAAAAAAAAAACAAAAATAAATCTTTGATTACCGATGTAAAATTTCTTTTGGTTCAACATCAAAATATGGACGAAGATAATCAATATTTGCATAAAGATTTATTGCTTGTTGGGCACGTGTACGTCCAGCAGTCCAAACCTAAAAATTTAGTTTAATTTAATTTATAATTAACATTAACAAATAAGATTAATACTTACAATAGATCCTACACTTGGTATTCCACTTTCAACAGATGTTGTTTGTTGATTATTATTAGAGGTTGATCTTTTTTGAAGATTATCGTGCATTGAAGTTTATTTCCTTGTTCACCTTATAATCAGACAAGACAAAATAATATATAGAAGCAGATATTTTACATGACATCAATCAAAGTTTACTTTAAAGTGACATCTATTTATATTTATAAAAGCCGAAATTTTTTTGTTTAATGAAAATTTTTTTTAAGAGAAAACTTTTGTTTTAATCTTTTTTTTATTATTTCCTACATTAAATAATAACGTAAAAATATATGATTGAAAGAATCTTTATACCAATGAAAACAAATATCTGCCACTGAATGAATGAATGAACTTTTTTGTTTCTCGTTCTTAAAAAAAAAAAAAAATTCCATTTAATCTAAATAAAGTAATATAATAATGAGTTATTAAATTATGTCAACCAGTAGTAAAAAACGACGTTATCAAACAGCTAGTTCACCAAATGAATCTGATGATGATAATAATGGTATAGATATTCGAATATTTGTTTATTATTTTATTAATACTTTATGATTTAGAACAATTATCAAGTTCGACAAGTCAATTATCAAATAAACGACGTGGTTCTGTTGCAGCTGATTTTGCATCACATCGTCTTATTGTTAGTGAACGACAACAAATGGCTGTACTTAAACAGTTAACAGCAGGCGAAGAATCGAATCGTATGTTTGTTTATTTGTTTTTTAATTGATGTTGAATATATTTTAATTATTATAAATAAATAATAAAATATATAGCTGGATCACAATCACCTTCATCAATAACTCCACAACCACGTCCATCAAAAATCAATCGACGTAATGAACATGGAGAAACAATTGTTCATATTACTGCAAGAAAGGGAGATTTAAAACAATTAAGAAAAATACTCAAAGCTGGAGCTAATGTTAATGAAGCCGATAATGCTGGTAATATTAATTAATATACAATAGATTTATTTTTTTGATATTAACGTTTATTTTTCTATTATAGGTTGGACGCCATTGCATGAAGGTAACATGAAAAGAAAAAAATTACATTTTTAATTGATAGACTTTATCGCTTCGGTATGTTTTCTACGAGTAATAAAATAGAAATGTGTAGTTTTCGTTATCAAAAAGCAAAATAGTTCGATCTATATGAAAATATTCAAAGTATGTTGATAAATCTGTCATATTCCTGAGAATGCTGTATGATGTTGAAAATATTTGTCTACTAAGATTAAGTTTTTAATCTTCTCTTAGTTGATGAATATTTTAATCAATTAACTTTTTAAGATATTAGATCTATAAGATCATAGAATTTAATCCTATTATATAAAATTTCTATCAATAATTTCAATAAAAATATTCAATTAGGAAATTATATAATAAGAAGACTTTTTTTTTTGTGTTTTGTCTTTAGCTGTAACTAAAAATCAATTTAAAGCTGCACGTCTTCTTTTAAAATCGGGCGCTAATTCAAATGCACCAGGACCCGAAGGACAAACTCCACTTGTTGATGCTGTACTTAATAATAATACTAAAGTATAGAATTCGTTTTTTTTTTCTTGTTTGCTTTTTTGTTTTTCTTCAAAAAGAATGTTTTATTTTACTAGATGGTTGAATTATTATTAAATTATTCAGCTGATCCATCTGTTGTTGATTTAACACGTTTAAATGAAACAATGTTAAAAGTATTAAAACGTGAAACAACAGTACTTGATTCATCTGATAATGAGAATGATGATGAATCCATAAGTCCATTATCACCATTAACAAGTGATAATGATTATGAACATGATGATAAGCAAAATTTTCATACAACACTTGTTGAACAATTAGATAAGAATCTCGCACTACGTACTAAATTTGCAAAAATTCAACGAAAAGTAATTAAAATAAAACTAAAAACAATCTATTGCTATTTAGAAAATTTTTTATTTATAGCCTATACGTCGTTTTCGTGAACGTTCATCACAATCATCAGATTCATCGTCATATAGTAAAACTCGTACAACGAGTGGAAATAATGATATATCATTATTCTCAATAACAGGAAAAAATCCGTATGATTTTGAAAGTGAAGAAGATAATGAAATACACGAACCAACAAATGAAGTACTTAGAAGTTTTCTCCTTTTTTTTTCTTTCTTCTCTCTTAATTGCGAAATAATTTTTTCCTAAGATTCATGATGAAACTAAGAAAAAAAATGTACGTAAACAAGATAATGCAAAACAACGTGCTAATAGTGGAGGTTCAATTCAATTAAATGAAAATTCAAATAAAAAAAAACATTCAAATAAAATTGAATTAGTTAAAGAACAAGAACAACAAAAATTTCGATCAACATCTGATGATGAACAAATACAACAAATTTATCGTGTACCACCATTGAAAATTGTTTTAGCAAGAGCCGTTCTGCATAAAGCATCTGATATAGAAAGGTAAATATTATAAAAAAAAAAAAAAAAGCAGAAAAGAAAATAGGTCGAAAGAACACCTAAACTATTTTATGTCTCATTGACTGTGATAGACTGTCAAGAATAATAAAAAAACAAATATTTTGGAAAGTTATTTGGTACATAGATTAAAGCAAATATATATATATATATACCAGAGAGATTGATATATATAAATGCTCTTGTTTTATATTTGAAGAAATATATTAATCATGGTAAGACTATATATTAATTGAGATGTTTTCCATAAGAAATAGATTTACTCTTATTTATTATACTGATGTTAAGACAGATTAATCGAATTACAGTCTATTCAGTTTTTCAAGCTAACGGCGGAGTCAGAAAGAATTCAACTATACAATTCTCAATTAGGAAAAGAGTCCACCCTAATTGCAGTGTGCATTTAGGTGGACGTTTCGGTAAAAATGAAAATCACCTTTTTTTTTTCAAGGTTTAAATATAGTCTATCTAATCGTATAAATAACTTTGTTGCAACTCTGAAAGAAACTGAAAAACTACTTACTCAAGAATTAACCTGATAATTAATATGTGACAAATTTAAACTGTTCGACAAGTAAATCTTCTGAATCTCTAAGCTGAGCTCTATATAATGTTAAAGAGTATTTTTCTTTTCTAATGCCGTCTAAAGGGCTAGCCGCGTAAAATGAACAATTCACGCACATGCAAATTTTTGCCCGAATCGTCTTCAATCTATTGTTTCTAATGTCTGTTAGTGCAAACATTTCGTGATAGCACAATGAATTTCCAAAAAAACTTAGATTTTTTCGGTAAGAAAAATATCTAGTCGAGAAAAATAGTATATACATAATCAATGCATTAAATTACGTCGAAGAATAAATAAAACAAAACAATTTTTAAGGAAAAAAAAAAATTCTTGAAAAAATGAGAACAAGGATCCCCTCAGGCATATTTCGTAAAAAAATGTTTTTTTTTTCCTTAAAAATACCTTTTTGCATTATATCAAATCATTTCCAAGTAAAAAAGTCCTTTTTTGAGAAAGAAAATCGCATGTCCGCTTGCCATGCAAAGAATGCACGTTGTGCCCTTGCCTTCAAATTGTTCGACTTTCTGTCAATTTTTTTACGGCTTTATCGTCACTTAATATAGAAGTCGGATTTCAAAACATTATTTCTCTTTCTTTGGTAGAAAGTAAAATAAAAATAATCAGACAATGTCATTAGGAGGTAAATAGGATTGAAAAAGGTTGTAGAGTATCTATTATGAAAAAGGCCAAGTTACAGTGAGTTTCGTTCTCATCACTTCGAGAATAGAAACATTTTCTGTAATCATTCTTTTTTTTTATCCTTTTCTACTCATAAAGTTATTTTTTTTTTTTGTTTCATTATTATTTCAAACATCGTAGAAGAAGATGCGATAGTATGTGCGTGTGTTCAACATAAAATACGCACTAATGGAAGGAAACATTATACTAAATTGATTGCTAATATGGTACTATAATCTTGAATATGAGTATCTACTCATACTTAGCCCGGAAATTTTATTTGGGTCATTCGTTTCTCCTAATTAAACGTAATTTAGCATAAATATTCATTGAGATGTATAATTCTGAAAGTACGATGACTATTATCGATCTCTACTCTTCAGAGAAAAATAAACCTTTTGATTCACAATGCATGTGTCATTTTTATAAAAGTAAAAGAAATTATTAATATGTCGCGATCACAGTGACCATAAACACAATCATCGTTATTTTTCATAATAGTATTGTGTTTAAATTATGCATATTGAGTAAACATTAGAGAAATCTATATAAAAGATGTGTGCAATATTCAAAGTAGTCTTGCGAACGTTGTTTTGATTATATAGAATTAATATTTATTCCTTTTTCTTTAATCATAATTACGCATAACTATTATTAACATTTTTTTTTTTTTCTATAAAATAATTTTCAAAAAAAAAAAAAGATTTGTTAAATATATTTTCAAATAATTATTCCCATAAGATCTACTTATTTATTACAAGAAAAAGAATTTTTCTCTAGAGAATAGTTTAAGTATTCATTAATAGATCGACATTTATTCTCACGATTTATGATGTTTAAAACAATTTTTATTACTTTCTCGTCTTGAGAAAATCTTTTCTTAATCTCTTATTTAACATCATATTCTTTTAATTTATTATTCAATTAAAATGATTTCACATATGAATTTTTTTTTTTTGTTTTTTTGATTCAAAATTTTCTCTAATATGAATAGAATATTTCAAGTTAAGAAATGCTTCTATTAATAATTAATAAGTGTCTAGTTTTTATTTCTGATGTAATAGACATATAGATTTATTTTTTGATTCACATTTTATTTCTCTATTAGTCTTCTATGTGTACCTAGAGATCGAAACTTAAAATAGCATGTCAAAAATAAACATTGTCGATTTAACATCAGTAGTATGCATGCATATTAAAAGGAACACATGAAGAGAGAACGCGAAAGACATTGTGTCAAATAAGAAAAAGAAAGGAAAGAAGAAATAAGGGCAAACAAAATACACAGAGAGAAAAATGTGTCTGTGTGTGTATGTGTTCGACATCGGGGCGGTAGTAACGAATGCCAGTAGAAGATAGATATTATT